ATTTAAAACAAGTCTCATATCACCTAACGTGGATGAGTATGGTCTAAGACAAGAATTTTCTAAGTTTTTTTTTTGGCAGAATTAATTTTCTAAGCTAAGGTAAGAAATCCAGAAAATTGGAAAGCGCAAACCAAATGATCCTAGATGAACGATTGAACTGTATCAGTGGGCCGGGCAAGTATGTCAAATCAATTTTAATATTTTTCTCATAACGAGGACTCTTAACTTTGAAAGCATGACGAGAATGTGCTCGATCCACCTTTTCTAGAATTTTTATAAGTTAGCCTAAAATTCTAGATAATACCAAAAGTTAGAAGAATTCAAGATGGAGCTTGAATTTTCAATTCTTTTAGTTTCTTCTCGTCTCTTTGGAATTTAAGATAGCTCCCGTTGCCAGATAAGGGTTTCTAAAGTAAAATGTTATCAAACAAGTAAGAAATGTTCAAGAGACTATTTTTTCATTTTTTTAAAAAATTCTCAATAGCTCAAAACTATGTTATTTTTTTTGTTTTTATTTGTCTTGTGGTTGATCATTCTTTAGTGTGTGTATATATATCTGATGATTCATTGGTGATTTTAGTTAATAATGGAAGTTTGTCATAGTTTGGTTAGACAATTAATATGAGAGATAAGACCAATTTATACATAAATTATTATAATAGGCTTTTGGCTTTCAATTCGAATAACTGTAGCTTAAAATACGGGGAAATAGGATTCTATCACCTCACTGAGTATTTTATGCAATTTGCAGAGAAAGGAAGCTAAAAGAGACCAAAAGTGGACGAAGAACGTAGAATCCTGGCATCTGGTTATGTCCGTTAGCGGTCGAAGGTAGCACGAGTATTAACCAGTTGTGGATAAACCCCTCTGGAAGATCCATTTCATTTCTGTTCAGTTCCACCACTGGATGAGCACAACATAGATGATGACCAGTGCTAGACGTGAGACGATCTCACTTCTCGCACACCTGCACAGATGAGATGAGAGAGATTTGTGCTTCGACCACAGAGACAAACATAAAACAAAGGGCTCGATTGCGGGCAAATGTGACTACAAGACGTGTGGTAGCTGTAGAATTAATCTTAAAATGAGATATTTGAAGTAGAAGGTAGAAGGTGGAAGGTAGAGCACGGCGGGTTTGAGGGGATTTTTCTGATCTGGGAGTCGATTTCCTCACTCTTTATTTATTTTCTTTAGTCAAGTCATTCTTTTTATCGGGAATTTGTTGCAATAACTCTGAGTTCTTTCTAAGTTCCCAAATAGGGTAGGGAGAAGTTGGGATGAACTTGCTCTTCGTTTGGTTTTCTTTATTTACCCATTGAAGATATGATTTATTATCTATGAGAATTTATGTTTTACATTTATATTTATCTCTCTTGCTTTGAGTTTTTTATTATATAGACAGTCACCATATATGATATGCCTATGGATTGCTTGATAAATTGAAAGGTGAAAAAGCAGCTTAAACCTAAAGAGATAAATGCAAATAACTAAATTAGGAATAATTTAGTATATGTGATGACTTAAATTGTAACTTTAAGATCAAATTAGGTTATCTTGAGCTAGTGAAAGCCAACTCAATGCTATTTAGACATACCCTAATATACTAGAAGGTAATTAAGATATTTTAAGAATATTATCGTCACTATAAATGAAGGGAAATAAAATAAATGAATTAGAGTAAGTCATCCTAATAAGAAAATCTTAATCCCTAACACTCATTTGATTGGTTGGATCATCCCTATCACTTTAATTTGGTAGTAATTTTTGCATAAGAATTTGGTTTATTTATTTTGCATTTTAAAATTAAAATGGATGGATAAGATTATGTTGGAAATAAAAAAGAAATATTTAAGATCGAATTTATGTTGATGTGATACCTCATGCGAACGGTACTTATTGGCATTTCATGAATCGATCATTGATTGTCTGGACGAGAAGATGAATCGTCTTTTTCACCTCCATCCTTAGCGACCCAACTTTTCATATTTCCGTACAAACAAATGGAACTACGTACATTTTCGGTTTCCATCAAACGCAACATTATTATTTTATGTCTTTTCTTCTTTCACTACCAGATTTTCCTATAAAAGAAGCATATACGTTTTGGGAAACGTCGATATCAAGTAACACTAGCAAATTTAAACCTGGTCTAACCGTGAAAGAAACAAGAAATCCTACGTGCTAAACGCTATTGCATGCTAGTGTCGAACTCATTTTCGGCTTCTCTACATCAATATAGTATAACCTCGTAATGTTTGGCTTATGTTATACATTAAACGACACACTGACTTTTCACGTACGTATTAAATCTTAATCTCCTCCCTAACCTCTATGGATGCATACTTACATATGTGTATATATATAACCGCTAATCTCCATTACTCTCGTATCACTCCTCACTAATATATTTCTCTTCGTACGAGCACATGCTTTGCTCCTTTCTATTCTATGATCAATTCATCTATTGAGAGTTCTACTTGTGGTCATCGCATGTCACTAGCAAGAACAGGTTAGTTCTTAATTACAGATGTGAGGGCATGTTTGGTTACCGTTCTCATTTATTTTTAGAAACTGTTTTATAATGTAATTTTCAAAATTGTTTTTTAAAATAAAAAAAATTAAAATATTTTAGTTATGTTAATTAAAAAACAGTTTTAGAAATTAAAAATAGGCTAATAATGATAGTTGTAAGCGATTAATAGTAACGGTTTATAATAGAAATTGGTCAAGTTGACTACATTTTCTAATATTTAAATATAATGTATTTTGAAAATAAAAAAGGTAAAATGAAAACAAATTTAAGATGTTTCCACTTTTTGTTTTTAAAAACAAAAAATAAGAACAATTTTTGAAACAATTAAATCCAAAACACTTATCCGAACAATTTTTTAATTTTTTTTTTAAAAATCAATCAGGCCCTTAATCTAAATCTTTTTCTTTCTTTCTTTCTTTTTCCCTTCATTTAGTTTGCTGGAAGCATCAATGTGAACATTCATCAAATGTGTTTTACGTTTTAAAACATTCCCTATCGCAGGTAGTGGTTAATGATTAAATATATTTACGTTTTCTGTATTTTCACATGCTTAAGATATTTTACTTTACTTCTTAATACATTTTAATACATTTTAATATTGTGATTATTCAATCACACACACAGAGTACACTTATATTCAGGATACTGTTGTTATGGAGGAAAAGATCAGGTTAAAACAAGAGGATTACACAGCGGTTGGATCATCTGATAGGCAGGGACATCCTGCAGTACGAGGAAGAACAGGAACTTGGTTTGCGGAAATCTAATCCTTGGTAATTTAATATGGGAAAATCGCATCTAAGAACCTGTGGAAAAAATTATTCGCAAACAAAGACTAATATAAAATGGATTATTATTAAAATGAAAATATAGACTTATTTTTCTTGAATGGTATAACTTGTTATTTGTCCTTATCAGTAAATAACTTTCTTCATAGGTCCTTAGATGTGATTTTTCCTTTAATTATTTAAATTCTCTTAAGTGTACATACAAGTTACAGAAACAGGGGGACTGCATTTTTAACAAATATGGAAGATCTGAATTAATAACTTATAATATTTTGTTTAAATTAAATTAATATCGTGATTTTTTCAAGGGTATCTCAACTACATTATTAGTTATTACATATTATGTGTGTTTGTGGGGTGTTGTTAATTATTGTAGTATTGCAACGACATCCTGTAATGAATAAATTAAAAATACACAAAAAATAGTTAGCCAATCTCAGTCACCAAACCAACTTTCTTGAATCCTTATTAGAATAATATTGGGAAGAAATTCTTCGACAGATAATAAGTATATCAATATATAATATAAAATTTAATCATAATTTATAAATAGTGAGACAGTCACTTGATCCTCATACTTGATGCAATGAGCATGGCCTAAATCTAGTTATAGATTAAGCTAGTATAGTGACTTATTAACAACTTCATGTAAGTTAATAAATCTAGTTAAAATTAGTTAATTCCATCAAAATTTTAAAATTATCTTCAATGAAGTTCGTTAATTAGTTAGGAGGTTATTTACTAAGTATAGAAATATCAAAGCATAGGACAGTTAGAAAGGAAAGAAAGTCTTATATTAGAAAAGGATTAAAGGGTATTTTTTCCCTTCAATTATATATTTGCAAAAAGTGTCTAGTATCCTAAACTTTTTCATAGTGCAATATTCCCCTTCGACAATTAAAAATAGTATAATATTACCTCTAGCGTTAACAAATGTTAATTTTGAATGTCAGTTGACTCAAAAAAATTGTACAAAAAGATCTACAACTACAAAAAAAAGAAACCAGAAACTATAAATAATTACCTTACCATGTAAAAAGACCAAAATATCTTTGACAGGGCTAATTATTGGACTACTATTGTTGGCAATAATACTGGTAATTATAATCTTCTAATTACCTGGTAGTTGATCAAAGTAGTCGGTTAAAATGCTATTTTAATCATTTATATAGCTAAGAAATAACATACATTAGTCTTTAATTTATTTGTAATTTAAGAAACTTAGTCAATATTAATTTTCATAAAAGGTCCTTTTTTGTAATTTTTTAAGTCAATTAATGGTCAAACTCATTCTTTTTAACAGTAAGGACAAAATTGTATTATTTTCAAATGTTGAAGGGGATATTGCACAGCAAACATAGTTAGGATACCAGACACTTCTATGTTAGTAGTTGAAGAGGCAAAAATGCCCTTTAATTCATTAAAAAATTATGGGGAAGGTCTTATAATAAGGACACTAGAGAGTAACTTAGAACAATTTTCCACCAAGTCACATGTTTAGCATATCCTTAAATGTTGTCTTTTTTCACTCACGGTGCACATAGCCGTTAAGTTATAGATAATCCAGAAAGCTTGTATCATAATTATTATTTATTTATGAAGCAGTGAATCAAGGGCTAGCAACGTTAGCATTTTTAGGAGTGGACGCGAATCTGGTGCTATTTCAAACAAGAGTGATGGGACAAGATAATGCAAATGCAGCCAACAACGTAAGTGAATGGGCAGGAACAGTCTATATGTGTTCCCTTGTAGGTGCCTTCCTCAGTGACTCCTATTGGGGGAGGTACAAGACTTGTGTTGTCTTCCAAGCCATCCTTGTTCTTGTAAGTTCTTTGGATATCTCTTTTCCCCTTTGCTGAGCAATATATTAGAGTATAAGAAACATTTTATTTTTCCCCTTCAAGCAGAATTCACTTAATTATGTTAATGAAGAAAATAGAGAAATCTTTGTGATATCTTGTTAATAAACTATCTAGTATTTGATAATATAGACTAAGCTAAAAGGGAAAATGACAATTAGGGAACCCATAAGAACATTAATGATAATTACACACATTGAATTATTGAAATGCCAATAACAGACCATGTGGTCTTTAGTTGCAATAAAAGACCATGGTTTGTTATTGAGATTTTAATATTTCAAAATTTATAATTATCATTAATGTTCTTATATGGGTCCCTAATTGTCATTTTTCCAAGTTAAAACTTGAGAACATGATTTAGGGGGTTGAGTACCTCATCACTTAGAATGGATGAGTAAATAGCCACCCATGAGCTACCCATAGTTACAATATTAATCATTATATGATGGCTTATAATCATCAAATAATAGTTTCTAACTTCCCTAAGCAAAAAAAAAAAAAAGAATAATTATAACCCTATCTCAAATGCCTTGCTTTCATGATAAGCCCAAGAATGTGTCATGAGCATAAGTTTAAAGAGAAAAATCCATCCTAAAAAGCTAACCTATTATTAAAAAGAGCCTATCACACTTATAAATCCCACTTCACTTGTAAGGCTCATTAATGTGAGACTCGAGATTGGATGAATATAAATCAAGCTTCCATTGCTTTGTATGACATCAAGTAATTTGAGAAGTTTTTCTTTAATTTGAGGGCGTTTTCTCTTCTTCGATTCTGTACCAGCTATATTACAATCTTTACTTCTCATACTTTTTTTGTGTTCTCATGGAATGATTATATATACAAATGACAGGGTCTGGGGCTATTGTCGCTAACATCCTCCAGGTTTTTACTGAAACCTAGTGGTTGTGGAGATGAACACTTTACATGTGGATCTCATTTGCCATATCAGAAAGCTTTGTTCTACACCTCAATATACCTAATAGCCCTAGGATATGGAGGATACCAACCCAACATTGCCACGTTTGGTGCTGATCAGTTCGATGAAGCTGACCCAGAAGAAGGACACTCAAAGAAAGCATTCTTCAGTTATTTCTATTTCGCTCTCAACATTGGATCTCTCTTCTCCGACACAGTATTAGGTTATTTTGAGAGTGAAGCTATGTGGACTCTAGGATTTTGGACCTCAACAGGATCTGCTAGTCTTGCTTTGATCTTGTTCCTTTGTGGTACTACGAGGTACAGATACTTTAAACCAGGAGGAAATCCGATTCCTAGATTTTGTCAAGTCATTGTTGCAGCAACAAGAAAATGGAAGGTCAAGGGTATCTCTGGGGATGACAACCTTTTTGAAGTTGAAGAATATTCTAATCGAGGAAGAAAGATAGTGCACACTGAAGGACTTAGGTATGTTGACCTCGTCATTTTAATTATTCAAGTATTGTTTCACGCTCATCCGCACATATGTACAATCACGCGCAAGAGCACATACAAACACATTTCATTGTGATATATTGATCATTTGTTTTATTACAGAACTTGAAATTACCAGACTTCTGATATTTAAATATGTCAACGTATTTCAGCCACATTTGTATTTACATGATCTTATATATACTTGCTATGTTTTCTCCTTATTACTTGCTAGTCCTACTAACTTTTTTTCCCAATCTTGAAGATTTAAACTTCTTATATCAGATTATTAATTATGTTATAGCGATAGGACATCTAATTTTATCCTCATACTGTGCTCACTCGCTTGTTATTATAATATCCAAGTTCCTTCAAGTTGAGCTATCAAAAGGTTTATAACATATTCAACCTGTTTCAATGAATTGTTAATGTTTTCAAAAGTTTCTATTAATTTATTTTTATATTTATTTCATCAGATTCTTGGATAAAGCAGCATTTAAGATACCTGAAGAGTTAAGAAAGATGAATAAAACTTCTAGCTCGATCAATGGCATCTTTGTACTGTGACTCAGGTTGAAGAAGTTAAATGCATACTAAGACTAATCCCAATTTGGCTATGCACCATGTTATACTCCGTTGTTTATACTCAAATGTCATCACTATCTGTAGAACAAGGTGCATCAATGGACACTAGAATTTCATCTTTCAAAATTCCTCCAGCAAGCGTGGCTATATTCAACATCATAAGCGCCTCTGCTTTCATCTTCTTTTACGAGCGAGTTCTTCTTAACCCGCTCATCGCCCAAAAGATGAACAACAAAGGACTCACAGAGCTTCAAAGGATGGGAATCGGACTCATCGTAGCACTGATGACCATGGTATC